AAGTCATGGCCGTTAGATCGGCCCAGATTCAATTTGGGCTGTTTGGTTCATATGTTCATAATCTCAGTATTTTCTTATATATATATATATATAGAGAAATGATCCTATAGGACTTTCTCTCACCCATGTGTGTAGGACCCCAAGAATCACTATTAAATTTGGCACGGATCTCTAAACAAGTCAAGTCCCACACCCTTGTGGTAGCTTTTCTAGAGATCCGTGCTAAATTTAATAGTGATATTTTGGAGTCCTACATACATGGGTGGGCGAGGGTCTTATAAGATCATTACTCATATATATATATATATATATGGGCAAGCTTTCTATGCTTGTGAATGATGGATTTATTAATTTTATGGTTTTTTTTTTTAATAAAAGTATTTTTTTAATGTATTAATCATTAAGTAAGGTTAATTTTATAAATATCACTACAAAATAATGGGTACTTTTGTCATCTCCATGAGAGGTAAAGTTGAAATTTTTACTAAAGGACAATGTCACTCTACAAATAAACTTTCAAGACACTAACTTATAAAATGCTATTATGCTTTTATAAAAATTTTAAATTTGATCTTGCTTAATGGTTGAATTACCTATTAAAATAATTTTTTAAATAAAAAGTTAATGATCTTTTTGATAAATACACTCATCACAACCCCTTCAAAAATTTAACTTTGTATTTTGAGGGGTTTTAATTTTAGACAAGCCCTATATATATATATAAGAAAAAGCTAAAATTAGCCCACTAGCTCATATGAACATATGAGCCCAATGGTCCAGATTGAATCTGGGCCGATCTGACGATTATAGATGTTCTGATAGTGTTTAAATTTTATTTTATTTTTTACAAATCCAAATCACATGAATTTTTAGGCGTGCGTTTATAAAAAAGATGAATCTTTGAAAAATATCAAATACATATTTTACATGAAATAAATTGATCAGAATACCCTTGAAATATTTCGAAGGGTATTTTGATCATTTTATTTTTTACGAATAATATTTTTATATTTTTATTAAGTGCGCCTTAACGAGAAGAAGATACACCTAAAATTTTAAATGATTTAGATTTATAGAAAAATTAAAAAAATTCAAGTGCTATCAAACATCCGTGATTGTCAGATCGGCCTATAGCCCACTAATTCATATGAACATAGAAGCCCAACGTCCCAGATTGAATCTAGGCCGAACTGACTGTCAAAGCCTTATTTTATGTTGGAATTTTAATTTTAATTTTCTTTTACAAATCCAAATCCCCTGAAATTTTATGCGTGTGTTCTTCTCATTAAGGCGTACCTAATAAACTTATATAAAAAAAATTATTAGCATAAATAATGACCTAAATACGCCCAAAAACATTTCGAGGGTATTTTGATCAATTTATTTAATAAAAAATATTTTTTTGTTTTTTTTCAATGATTCAACTATTTTTGATGAACACACTCTTATAATTTCAAGTGATTTGAATTTATAAAAAAAAAAAATTAAATTCAAACACTATCAGACATCCGTGATCGTCAAATCGGCAAATATTCAATCTGGGCTGTTGAACTCATATGTTCACATGAGCTAGTGGCCTAATCCCTGCTTTTTTCTATATAATATATATATAAATATATATACATATATATAAATATATATATATACATATAAATA